TCCACAAATAATCCTTTGGAAAATACTACAGAAAGCTTTCTCGGGATGGGGCAGTGGCCAGGGTGAAGGGCAAAGTACTGAACTGGAGGAAATAAAACATGTAGGCTTCCATTAGCTCTAGCTAGGATCAGTTCTTTCTTAATATGTGTTGTGTACCTTAGCTTTCTCTCTTAAAATATTTGTTTTGTTCTGCAGCTTCTCCCACGTCACTGCCGTTTCTTTACAGACTGGTCCAGCTTTTCCGACAGGCTTGGGCAGCTGTATTTCCTCCAATCCGCAGGCCTCCAGTTCAAGACTAAGTGGCTACCCCTGCAGACTTTTTTCTTTTCTTTTTCTTTATGCTGCTGCAAAACTGTCAGCTTGTCTTGAGGACTTCATTAGGCTCTTCACGGGTTGTTGAGATCAGTGTCCCAATTGAGATGGCCACCTGTGAACTCCTATGTGATGATATCTTCCTTCAGATAAGGAGCTGTATGGTATGGTTTTTAAAACATGCCAAGTATTCCCCACCCACACATCCTTTGCCTTGGGCTCTGCAGCATCATGATATCCAATAGTTGGTTAAAGCTATGCCCTTAACCTACAACTAAGAATTTTTCTTAAAGTAGTTTGCTTTGGATTGACCTTTTCAGTGAGAGTTTTGTAGTTAGTTGTGATGTAGGCTCACTGAGGTGTTTTGGAAGAAGGCTCCATTCTCACAGATGCTGGGCAGTTCAAGAGAAGAAACGGTCTTGGAGGCAGAACCATAGAAGACTGAAGGGAAATACGTCGTTTGCCTGAAGATATCCGAAAAGCCTTCTGCAGCATGAGACAAAGGACACACGTGTGGAAATAGAAAATGGAGTCTGCTGCCTTTTGAAAGTCATGGTTTCTCTTGACCAATGCCTCCTCATATAGGCATTCTTGATTTTAGTCTTACCTAAGCCAGACGATGAAAATGAAGGTGGTGGGACACTGTTGTCCTGCACCTACGATTCCTAAATGCAAATTACAGCACTTTGTGCTTGCCTGATGCATAAAAATTCTTGCAAGCATGTTGTAATAAGGAAATAGATTTATTTTTTTAAACTATATTCTATATTATTGTCTAGACTCTGCCTAAAATCTTTGCTAAATAAGAAGTTGTTGCATTGTTTTATTCTTAAGTTTGTCCCTGTGTTTTGCTATGGTTTTTTAGATGTCAGAGAGGCTCCAGATGCCTAGAATGCTGCCCCTGCCATACCTGAAATCTTGATTTAGATGAAAGCCATTCATCTATGCTACTGTCTTTCACAGGATAAGTTTCTTAATAGGTAGAAAGAATATTTTCTCCAAACTTCCCCAAAACTGTGTCAAGAAAGCTGTCTTTGCAGAATGCTTTGATTTGTCACAAGACCGACCCCCTTTAAGGCCACTGATTTGGTTTCCTAGGGGACAGCACTCTTTAAACATTGTTTTTACTGAAGCAAGTTGTGTGGATAGTGGAGAAAACAAGTTGTAAAAAAGGTGCCTTTGTGGCAAACGTAGCTGCCTGTGCCAAGAGTTTGGTAACAGTGGAGACTACAAAATGAGGAAATAAACAGCCTTTACGGACGACTCCATCTAACACACCAAGTCTGTGAGAAGCAGCCAGTATAGATCCCAGCACAGTTTCTTACAACAGAAGTCCTCTTCAGATTGTTCCTTTATCTCTAGCAGTAACTACATACAGAGGTAGTGGCTACTTCTTTAAAAAGATATCAGGTTTGGTGTCTTCAAGCTGTGTGCTGTATTGATTTGCTGTCTGTCAGGGCACTTGGAACAGGTGCATCTGCACTACTAAAAATAAATCCATGTCTAGTTCTTCTTGAACGATCCAAATAGAAATGCTCCAGGATTACTGTACTGGAGATAAACTGGGGCAGGTCATGCATGAAAGCAGAATGCAGTAATGACCGTGCTTATTTGCCTCATAGTGAAAACTAAGTGTTATTTTTGTCTCTTCTAGGGCTTTACAGCAAGATAATTAGCACATAATGCTTCTTCCTCACTATATTTAAAAAGTTATTTCATATGTGCCCTCTGCATATAGGGAATATATTGTAACACAACTGTCGGGGGACACTTGATGGAAAAATGGATAACATCAAGCCCACAGAAGCTCTGTCCAGATTGGAGCTCTTCCAAAAATGACTATATTGTATCTACTGATCCCCTGCTTTGCAAGGCCTAACTCTAAATACTTTGTAAAGCAATTAATGAAATATCAAAGTTGGTTCTAAAGGAAGGCCAAATCTTAACTAATACTAGCCTGTTCAGGTAGCAACAACTTATTTGCTTTAGTTTTCTATTCATGTTTTTAGTTAGACAGCACAGTTGCATTTGTAGGGTTGGGACCAGTGGCATGTACAGATCATATGTTAAGTTTAGAATCCTGTTAATTGCCATAGTTAATTTCTTGGGACAGAGATTAAAACCAATTTGAATGTTATAGCTGGGCAGCCTCCAATCAGTACTACTAATTTTGCATTTGTGTTGTATTTCATTTACTGAGAGAGAAAGAAGGCAGAAAAGCTATCTTTTTTTGTGATTAATACTAAAAATGTAATATTTTATTTTTACAATAAAATGACTACTGATTGAACTTTTTGTAGAGATGCTTATTTGTGCTGTGATTAATTACATTAACATTTTCACACTTAAAGCATTGATACTTTACAGTTTTCAAATTACTTCTGGAAATGTGTTACATTATCTGTCCTAATCATACAAACATATTTGTATTAAGTAGGGGAGTTATTCATTGTGAATAACTGCCTGACTCTCTAATAACGTGATCACAGTGGTACAGCATGGGTCTACATATGATTAAGAGACTACTTAATTTCTTACTTCCCATGAAAGATGCAGGGTTTTTGTTTCTTTGTTTAAATAATGTAAGTGCCTGGGTGCACTTCTGAGTAGCCAAGAGTGGTAGTATCAAGAATAAAGTATTTGGTATTTATTTTTAGTTACATTTTATTTTTCCTAAATTCTCACTTCATCATATGAAAAAGATGTAGTCATCTTATTTTAAGGCAATCCTACCATTTAATATTTGCCAGGGAGAGAGAGACTATGTGCACATGCCATGTATGTGTGAATTTTCTGCTAAGTAACTCCATATGAAAGGAAATGATGATTCTGGTTTTTGTTTTGTCATCTTCCTGGACACAGAAAAACTTCTATTGCCCCATACTCGAGGCAGATGAAGAGTTGGGGAACAGTTGTGTGTAATTGGCTGAGTGGACGTGAGGAAGATAAGGCTTGGCTGGCACGATGATGAAGTTTATTGCCTGAGCATCAGGAGGCAAGAAGCTAATCCATGTACTTTGTACACGGACAGTGAGCCAAGCGGAATTCCTTATCATCCAACCTGACTCATTTCAAATGGTGCAACTTAGGCCAGTTAAACAACTCTGCTCACTGTTCATTGCCAGCCATCCTTGTCACAAAAGACACAATTTTAAAATGATGTCACCTTCTGAAACTGGCCTTCTACACCTAAGTGAACTATCAGGAGCATATTCACGAGTTGTAGGAAACCAATTATTATTTGTGAAGATGCCCCATATATGTTAAAAGTTCTGGTTACAAATACTGGCTGTAACTTGTTTTAACCGGGTTTAGTATGACAAATGAACTGACAAGACTTGCTCAAGAGCAGATGTAGGGCTGGGGCTTGTGTGTGTTCGAAGGCAGACTGGTGATGTAATGGGCAAGCAGCGGGTTGGGAGGGTTGCCTGGGGGAGATTATGACCTCTCCTGCCTGCTCTGTGATGCTGCAGGGCCCCGGCCAGCAAGGCATGAATGCCCTGCCTCCTTCCACCAGGCTGCTTAGAGCAAAACAGCAGAAGAAACATCAGTAACTAAAGCTGCTGCTTGAAATTGAGGCGGGAAGCGAGCACCACAGGAGACAACATGGTGAGAAAAAAAAAAAAAAAAGATCACAGATGTTATGAGATGATGACCAGTGTGTTTGGCCTTTTGTTTCCACCTGCTCCAGTCAAGGTCTGAGTGAAGGTGGGATGGCTGAAGCAACTTTATTGCTTCAGTCTGACTAAGCGAACAGACCAGAGATCAATGTTAATGATCTGTGGTCTTCCCAGGTCACTGAAGTTCTCTAAACTCATCTCTTACATAACATGATTCAGAGAACTTTATTCTGTAATTCCTACTGTTTATGTTCATGGTCTTTGGTGTAGATGGAGAATTTTATTAATAAACTGTGATACTTTATTAAATTTCCCAGGGTCTTTGAACGGCTTCCAGATTTCTACAGATCTCTGGCTGTTGAAAGGAAGAGGGTTCCTTGTTCTATTCTTGCTTAACTTTATGACAAGAATATACAGAACACAAAGTTGAAAGCGTAGCAGAGCTACAGTCCTTGAGAGTCTGCATACAACCTACAGAGGGAGAAACGTTTATTTTTCTCTCAGAATGTGATACTGTATTTTGTGTTTCAGATTTCTGGTACTGAACTATGTGTATGGCAGAGTAATATGCATTTTAGAAACTGACTACAACAATGTAGCATTGACTACAGAAGTGTATTTATTAGGATGATTCCTCAGGAGATAAATTTAATTTAACATCTGAAGAGTACTTTGAGAAGTTCTCTTGAGTATCAAATTAACTCTTCACATGTTAAATTGAATCAAAACACTCAGAGAATGGGCTAGAACAATCAGTGGCTGAGATTAAATTAGGTGCTAAAGGTACTTTAATTCTACTTATTTTCATTTAATTTGTACAAATCAGTTTTCCACCTCTCCAACCCATATGTTCAAAAGAATATGGAGAGATCAGAAGATAACTCATTTACTGTTTTACTTACAGATCAGTAAGGCTGCATAGTTGTGTTTTTTCCCAGACAAATGAACTTAGCTCATATTCTTAGCTGAGATCTACCGTACATTTTGTGTTATTATGCAGTTTTTCTTTCTGAATGAATTTACATGCACCACAGTCATCTTCCTGTTTGTAAATAAGTGTACAATATTTCATATGAATTCAAATCATGTGAAAAAATGTGCAAGTTTTTGCCTCATATTTGTATGAAAGCAAACAAACAAAAACCAATGGTTGATTTGGGTGTTCTGGTAAGACCAGCTTATAGTCAGATATTCACTGGTTCTTCTCCCCTTTTCCCTGATCTTCCCCTTTAGCGTGAGTGCATCTCTGTTCACGTTGGTCAAGCTGGAGTTCAGATTGGCAATGCGTGTTGGGAACTCTTCTGCCTTGAACACGGCATCCAGCCCGACGGCACCTTCAAGGACCAACCCAGCGATGATGACTCTTTTGCAACATTTTTCAGAGAGACAAGCACTAGAAAATATGTGCCACGGGCTATTATGGTGGACCTGGAACAAACTGTAGTAGGTCAGTATAGAACTAATCTTGGAAAATGGAAATGAATCAACTCTTGTGGGTACCAGCAGCTCAAAATTTTACCACTGTTAACTGCCCTGTTGCTTATAATCTGCCTTTCTTCATGGGAATCTTCACCTCCTGGTATTCTTGTGGTGATATTTTCCTTTGACAACTGATGGAAAATACTTTTCTTCCATTCAGATTGAGGACAGGAGCATGAACAATCTGATAACAGGGATGATCTGAAAGATTTTTTGGGGGAAATCTCCATTTTACTCCTGCAAATCTCTTCCAGTAATTCCCCTGAATGTTCTCATGGATATTATGGATATTAAGAGTATGGATATTAAGAGTAAGAGTCCCACAGCATGGCACAAATATCATTTGAAAAATGACCTGTGTTTAAGCAGAGAAACTTAAGAGAAGCATCACAGACCAGTATCTGTTTCTTTCTCTCTTTCTCTTTTTCTCTTTCTCTCTCTCTGTCTCTTTCTATTTCTTTCTCTTTCTCTCATTTTCTTTCTTTCTCTCTTTCTTTCTTTCTCTGTCTTTCTGTCTTTCTCTTTCTCTCTTTCCTTCTTTTGTTCTTTCATTCTTTCCTTCTTTCTTTTTCTTTTCCTGAGTGGAAAATGTCTCAGGTATTCCTTAGCTCTGTACTTAGGTTCTCAACCCTCAGATCTTCCATTCCATCTGTCTGCCAACATAGAAAGCTGAGCCTTAGCAATTGGATTTGCTAATACTGTCAGCCTTGGTGAACTCTCTCTTCCAAGCTTACGCTTCTTCTCTTTTGTTCAGATGAGGTGCGGACTGGCACCTATCGTCAGCTTTTCCATCCAGAACAGCTGATCACTGGAAAGGAAGATGCAGCAAACAACTATGCCCGTGGCCACTACTCCATTGGAAAAGACAAAATTGACATGGCATTAGATCGTATACGCAAGCTGGTATGTACGGGTATGTTGGAAGCAGAACTTTGGTGGGTGGTAAAGGAAATAAAACAGCATGTACGTATGTTTTTGGTAGCAACTATTGTTTGGTTTTACTACTGTTGTATGTTTGGTATAGGGAAAACACAGATCCTGGCACTCTTAAGACTTGAAAACTTAAAATATTACTGTGGCATTATCATAACAAGAGAAACACAATAACCTTCTAGGGAATATCTTAGAATTACAGGGTTAAAAAAAGACTGTGAGAATGTTCTGCTGATCTGCGCTGTGCACTGAGTGTGGATGTTGCTGTCTCTATCTCAAGATGTAATTCAAAGGTATACTCACTTATTCTTCCACTTCTCCTCTTGCCTTTCAGGCTGATGCCTGCTCAGGGCTACAGGGATTCCTGATTTTCCACAGTTTTGGCGGGGGCACTGGCTCTGGTTTTACCTCCTTACTGATGGAACGCCTCTCTCTGGACTATGGAAAGAAGTCCAAGCTAGAGTTTGCCATCTACCCAGCTCCCCAGGTCTCCACTGCTGTCGTGGAGCCCTACAATTCCATTCTGACCACACACACCACCCTGGAGCACTCAGACTGCGCCTTCATGGTTGATAATGAAGCCATCTATGATATCTGCCGCCAAAACTTGGACATTGAGCGCCCAACTTACACCAACCTCAACCGCCTCATCAGCCAGATTGTCTCCTCCATCACCGCCTCGCTGCGCTTCGATGGGGCCCTCAACGTGGACCTCACCGAGTTCCAGACAAACCTGGTGCCCTACCCGCGCATCCACTTCCCCTTAGTGACCTACGCCCCCATCATCTCTTCTGAGAGAGCCTATCACGAGCAGCTCTCGGTGGCAGAAATCACCAGCTCCTGCTTCGAGCCCAACAACCAGATGGTGAAGTGTGACCCGCGGCACGGCAAGTACATGGCTTGCTGCATGCTCTATCGTGGCGACGTGGTTCCCAAGGACGTCAACGTAGCAATTGCTGCCATCAAGACCAAGAGAGCTATCCAGTTTGTGGACTGGTGTCCAACAGGCTTCAAGGTGAGTGTGCTTCTCTGTGATGTTTAAAGGGCACATTCAGTCTAGCTGAAAACTTGCATTTAAAGTAATAAAATGCTAGTAATGCATATAAAATGTACCTTCAGGCATCCCACTGACACAAGCTCTTAAATAGTTAAGTACATTTATCATATAGAAGTACTGTATTATATGCACTGTATTTTTAGTTACTGGACAATGCAAACCTCTAGTAATTTAAATGTAGAGAAATTACATTCTAGAGGCAAGATCAAGTTAAGGCCTATATTCTAAAGACACTGTTGACACTGTCCATCATCATATCAAAAAAGAAAAAAAAAAAAAGCAGTAACAACATTGTTGGCAAGTGAAACATGATTATATCTCTGTGAGAACTACTTTTTTTTCTGTACCCAATTTTGCCAAATGTAAGACTGTATTTTTTAAGCTTCTCTTCATTTAGAGTCCAGTTCCAGTTGCACTCTTTTTTCTCAATAATAGATAGGAATGGACTTGTGCTGTAAATAGCTTGAATGCCATTAGCCTTATGAGGGATTTTGCTGATGTGATTTGAGTTTTTCCCCACCTCTTTTTCTTCCAAACCACCAATGGTTTTACATTTTTCTCACCCTCTATGTTGTGTCTTTCAATTCTTTTTCTCATAACTCTTTGTATTCCACCATCTTTCTGCTGTTACTTACAGGTTGGGATTAACTACCAGCCTCCCACAGTTACCCCAGGAGGAGATCTGGCCCAGGTTCAGCGAGCAGTCTGCATGCTGAGCAACACCACAGCTATTGCAGAAGCTTGGGCAAGGCTTGACCACAAGTTTGACCTGATGTACGCCAAGAGAGCCTTTGTGCACTGGTATGTGGGGGAAGGCATGGAAGAAGGAGAATTTGCAGAGGCCCGGGAAGACCTATCTGCCCTGGAGAAGGACTATGAGGAAGTGGCAACTGACTCCTTTGAAGATGAAAATGATGGGGGGGAATCTTAAAAATCTTAAAATTCACTTTGCCCTCTTCTGTGCATAAGATTGCCTCTATGTCTCTTTATTTCACATGGCTGTATTTTCCCATGTTTCATACACACCAGGTCTGCAGAGGATTTTAGTAGGGTGCAACCGCTATGCACTTCAAAAATGCCATCTCCATTATGAGACAGCAAGACAATCAGTGCAGGGTATAGGACCAGCTAATCATTAGCCACTGTCCCTCAGAGGGCAACACGCTTCATTTTTTGCCAGTGTATCCTGCAAACAAGTTACTTCTGGAGCTGAGGGTCCATCTGTCTTATATATTGTCACTTAATCTAATACAAAGATACAGACATGTATCTCATATCAATCATATCTCCCACGAGTCTTGTGATTTGAGAAACCCTGCTGCTTCAGAATGTCACATGCAATTGTGCTAGAAACACTAAATGAAGAGACATTACACGGAGTCTTCAGTCCTTTTCATACTAATTCAAAACATAACACCAGAAAAGCTTTAAGAATCAGTGAAAAATCTCAGTTCTAAGTTTATCTGCTCCTTCAAATGCTTCTGAAAGGTATCCTATTGAATCTTTTTTAAGAAAAATGTATTTGATTCCTTCAATTGTCTCATTGCATTTGGCTTGATCTTGCCACATCTCTCTCTCCTTATTTTTCCCATGGGTCTCACTATTTCTTGTACTTTCCCACATCCCCAACTATTATTTTTTTATTCCTCCTCACTAGAGTGTTCTCAGAAATCTCCTGTCTGTCTAATCTCTGCATTATCAGCCTCCTCAAAACCCTCTCTCTTTCCCGGACCTTCTCTGCGAGATGCAGTAAGACAGGTAACAGAGCTGCAGTCTGTAGTCATTGAGAGTAGTGGTCTCTGTCAGGGGGGAATAAATGCCGAGGATACGTGTAGCTTCCAACTGTAGCTGGAATAGTCTAAGGATGCCCTAAGCATTCATTTCCCTCTTAGCAGAGCCTCGGACAAAGGAGAAAAGAAAGTTCTTGGCACTGCTGGAACCAAGAGCTCGCAGCTAGTTTTAGTCCCATTGCTTCTACAGATTTTGCCAGATACCATGAGCAGGGGCACAATTCAGGTACTCTTCAGTGGGTGTTTAGAACATCCTATGCTTGGGCAGTAGTTATGTAGCAATCAAAACAGAACTGGTCTGGAAGTGCAAGTATGTGGACAGCCCTGCTGTCATTGCTAAATAGACAGCTTCTCTGGCAGAACTAAAGACCTCAAAATGACCAGCTTGTGGAATGCAGGACAGAAGTATTGCAAGCTCCATCAAATTTCCTGAAAATGCAGTAAATTGGAGCCATGACAAAGAATGTTTGCCACAGTCCCCACAGGAGGTGGGATGTCTAAAAACACCAGCTGTGACTTTACAGTGTAGCCTTCATAATTAATATTTTTTCATATTCCCATTGTTTCATGGTTTTAGAAGTGTGTATTGCTAAGGTATGCATGCAGATGGCCAGTCCTGGTCTGAGGTTAAACTGACAGGATAACATGAGAAAGTGCTGCACTCTGCAGCCAGTGGTAGAGGAAGAGTGGCTGGCCAGCACCAGGCTGGGTCTAAAATAGTAAGGAGGAGAAGCTACCAGAAATTACACACAGTGAAAAGAAGGTTTTGGAGACTCTCCTTGCATGAAAGATGTCAACAGAAACTGAAGGGGATGCTGGCTTACTAAGGTCATTAAGGCTAAAATTTCTAGAAAAAGAGTGTAAAATAACAAATAAAAAAAAAAGGAGAGAGGGGGCAGTGGGAGAAGAAGGTGAGGTATGTACTTTTTTGGGAGGGAGGTGGAAAGCATGAAAATGATAATGTAAGGCAAAGTAAACCATGCAATAGATTCAGTTTGTGAGTAGCTATTGAGCAGCCCCAATGCCTGAACAAGACATTGAATCCATTCTTCTGATCTTACCAGTCTCACTTGCTTATGTGGTCAGGGTTACCTGAAAGGTTTCTCTTGACATGGAAGAGAAGACATCCTGGGGGGCACAGAGGATGGACCAAACCTCCTTAATATATAGCTCTATATTAGCACTGGATATATTGTTGATTTTTTTCATAAGTAAATTTCTTAAAGAAAAACAGTTTTTTAACTGATGCATACACTCATCTAATACCAATTCCAGCTGTGCTACAGAAATGCTACAGAAAATTTTTCTTAACTGCAAGGGGCTGTTTGCTGATAGCTCAGTTTGTATGAGGTCTGATAAAGGTCATAAAAAAGCAGATACATCCAGAAACTTGACTGATAGATGCAACAAGCCCTACTTTTTACCCACAAAATGAATGGCTGGTCTTTGCATTACAAATATAGTTCTCAACATGCTTTATTAGGGTAGGTAATTCTGCAAGTCCAGATCCATTTCTACATATTTTTACATATATACACACATTTTGTGCATAAAAATTCTTACCTAAAAGGAAGTAACTCTCTGAAACTTTAAATCACCAACAAATCATTAAAAAATGGAACCATTAAAAATGAAATCATTAAAAATAAGGCAGTGCAGTTATCTGTTCCAGGCATAATGGTTGAAAATCAGTCTTTTATTGATATAGCAGAGTTCTGTGAGGATACTAAAATACCAGAATTTAGTTTTTAGAAATACTGGAAATGAGATATTCTCAAGTCTCCCAGTAGGTGGCAACAGATGACAGAATGGAGTTTTACAGTGGACACACTGAAGCATTTACATCATTCGCTTTATTTATGAAGGTAAATTAACACATATAATGTGGAAAATGCAAAGACTTTTGTGAATCATATGCTGTCTACATAAGCATCAAGTCAAAAGTTAAAGGAACTTATATAATCACTGAACAACTTTCTAGGAATAAATTTTCTAAGATCTGCGCACAATATTGTTCTAAGTTTTGCCACTACTGTTATGTCACCTGGATAGCTGATATGTAGGAAATGATGTAAATTTGATAGAGGAAATGTCCTTCATGAGATAAAGCAGTTATTGCCCTCCATATGTCTGCTAATGTGTTTTTATATCTATTCAGAATAAAACTGATAGATCACAGGACTTAGTGGTTCTCCTAACCGAAAATCTGTTGAATTCTGTTGAATTCTTCTCTGTATTATTGAAAAATGCTCTTTTCAGAGATTGATCACTCTAAATAGAAAAATGGCTGTAGTTTTAGTATTCCTATTTTTTTTTACTACTATGTTGCATTCTGAGGGACTCCTATGCTGTGGCACCCATTATATGTGCACATAAGAAGCCCTTTAAGCACATATGGGCCATTCCAGTTGTATCTGGGTCACCCTGGGTAATACTGGCTGTTCATGAGCCCTCCGGCGTACTAGGAAAGACACTCTAGCACTCACGCCAGATTCGCTTATTTGCACACTTCCAGCTCTATGGCAGATTTTTTTCATCATCAGCCCTATTTAGCTCCTGTCATCATCTACCAGTGTCCCAAGGAAAAAGTGAACTGGACAGACCTACACCAGAGCTTTGGGCTGCTGGTCTTCTCCCTCCACAGCATTTCTTGTGCCTGCTGCCTATGTGACAGAGAGACAGAGTGATTGCCCCTACAAGCTCACCATGTCCTCCCACAGGCTGAAATGTCAGCACGGAGCAAGCTGACTTCATTTCCAAGAAGTCAGGTCCCAGGGCACATCCGCCTGATCTCTCTGTACAGGAAGCCTAGAGGTGTTCTCAGCAAAACTCACCAGCACTTGCGACACAGTCCCATGCTGTGCTTTGAGGTTCTCTAAATCAAGACCGAGGGCTGCCTAAACACTTGGCAAAGCAGGTGGACAGAACAACATAGGGAAATACACTGCTCAGGTGAAAAAAAGCAGTGGTTCCGGGTCTTCCTAAGGGCTTTTAGATCTGTGTTTGGCTTTCATCCTAGTAAACATCACCAAACAAAGAATATACCCAAGTAAATGTCAGCTGTTAAAAGCCAGTATGAACTATTTAACACTGTTAAAACACAGGTGTTAAAGGACAGGACTCAGATACTGGTTGCCAACAGGGACAGAACAATTTGTTAATTTTATCTTGTCAAACAGATTAATTAACCTAAAATTTAGAAGCTGCATGTTTACATTTCTGCTGATTAATCACCATAATAAACCGTATTTTTCTAAAGAAGGGATGCAGAACGCTCAGATTCAAGAAATTAAGTTTGCCTTCATCTTTGTAACCTAAGAGCTGCAAGTGAGGATTTCCCTACTGAGGGAAACTTCTCTCCAATAGTAGCTAGTACAGAAGGAGCAAACAATGAAGTGGTAGAGGAACTGCCCTAATTTGGTGCAAGAAAGTATGTGGGAAAGTATGCTTCCAGCTATTTCTTGCCACAAGCATTGCAATGGAAAGCAAAGGGCTTTCAGCATTTGGACTGACAAGTTAGGCTGAAGTTAGTATATGGTGCCCCATACTGCAGATAGCCCCAGTGACTGCACATGGGAAGTCAGCATTTAAAACCACTCTGACATGGCATACTTCAAAATAGTAACTACATTTACTTTTCAATTCCTTATTTTTGACTTTTCCTTCTATCTTCCCCCTTTTCATTCATTTGCGCTCTCATGCTCTCTTGGTCTTCTGTAATGGAATTTAGGCATGATTCTTGTCTATTTGTGTATGTGCGGCTGGGACTGTATGCTTCTGTGGTAGGTGTATATGGCTCAGGTGTTAGAAAGTATAGGGTATGGGGAGCTACAGGGCCACATTCAAATTTATTAAGCACACAGAACCAGAGCGGACTAAATGCAAAATTTAGTGCCCGAGTGGTGCCTGTATGGATGAGCGTGTGCATGTGGGCTGACTGGGAGGGCAGGGGGCAGTGATGCAACAGGCAGAGCTGGGCAGCCTGTGACCTATTCCTCACCGCATTGTGACACTGAAGCGCAGCAGCAGGTGCCTGGTGCTCAGCCCAGGCTGCCTCCTCCCCAACTGCTCAGACCTACACTCCAGCAAAGACAGCAGCACCAGAGCCTGCCACCGCTGATCGGAAAAGGAAGGAAAGACCGCTGGAGACACTATGGTAAGAGGGGGTGTGGGAAGGCCATGATCATCCAGGGACTGGGAGGATTATGAGTGACCAGGTTAAAAGTAAGTTAAG